AAAGCTTTGCTCAACTCATCAAACATATCTAAACATTCAGTGTCCTACAACATTCAAACACGTCCAATGAGCAGCATATATGAAACATTCAAACTAGTCTAACTCGAGTCATGAGATGCCAGAACTCGTTTAAAAGCATGCAACTAGTTCGAGAAGACTTCAACAAATCGTCCGCAAACATAGCATGTATTCATTAACCATGAACCTCGATTACGTTCCAATCTAAAGACGCCACGACAACATCAAAGAAGAATAGGAAAAGAAAAACGACTTACATTTTCTTAAGCCGAAAAACAGATTGTTGAAGCCAAAAATTACCCCCTCCCTGTTAATCCCACACCAGTGCTCTGCTTCAAGAGAAGAAGACTCAACAAACTTCTATGAACCAATTGCATTATGATCATTGTTACAAAACTTGTTTTTTGGCCTTTCATCTTACAGTAATTGCAACTAAACTTCAACATATAATGAATAATTACTAATTAAATCAATGTCAGTGCTCAAGAAACTCTCTCCCATTGTAATTCTAAGATGTCACTTTTCCTTCATACTGTGCATGTTCAAGCATAGGTAGCAATCTAGACACCACCTTTTGCAGCGAAGCGTAATTTATCGATCTATTGTCTCTATCGATGTCCGATTTTGACATTAATGTAATCTCTTGAGTATCCAAATTTTCACTCAACAGTTCGTCCCAAAAGTCGCCATCTTCTCTGATATTTGCTTTCATCATAAGTTCCCATACTTTCTCCAAGGTTGCAACACTCCTACCAGCACCACAACCCATGGCTGTAGCGGCACCCACAGCATTCGCAATTGTCAATGCGTCGACGGTTGGCAAATTGTGTATATAACCGTAGGCAATTGCTGCCACAAAGCTATCTCCACATCCAACAGTATCAACAACGTTCACCTGCAGATAAGCTTCACTTAGGACTAGGTGAAAAGAAACATTCAAGATACATCGCATCATGATAAGTTCGAAGTATTTTCACTTCATTAAGTTTCTTGGCACTACTCGTCTACTCATATAACGCTCAATAATTCCATTTGATARTTTAACGAGAAAATACAGCTTATTCGCATGATCATACCATTTTGAGTATTAAAGGCATATCAACACAATCACAACAAAGCAACTCAAGCAATACGATTGTATAACCAATGTGCATTATTAAAGAGGTAGAAACACAATTTTTTTTATAAGGAACCATTTTTTCATTGAGAAAAAATGAAACGGATACAAGAAAGTACATAAAAAAAACAGCCAAACAGCCAAAGAAGAGGACACCTATTAAAGAAAATGGCTCCAATCTAAGAGAATGACACCTAACTGATAATTACAAAAGGCCTTAGAGACCAAACCCCACGAAGAGGTCTTAAACCTAACAAAATCCCAAACGGTATTCACCATCTTTTCCACTCCCCTAAAAATTCTATTGTTTCTCTCCAACCAAATACCCCATAAAGTAGCCAAAAAGTCTGCCTGCCACAAGAACTGACCCCTATTGTGAAAAGGAGGGAACAGCAGCAACTCCACAATTTAGACCTTCGTAGTTCCATCCAAATCTCAAACAAGTGTCTTTCAAAGTATTGGTCATTTGTAGTGTGCGTCAATCTCTCAAATAACCCAAAAGGCATGACCCAAAAGTAAAAGTTTGACAATCTTTTCGACTGGATATTGATCCCCATAGCTCAACCTGTTTCGGTTTCGGCCATATTTAGGAGTAAAGTAGTGTCAGGAGTGCCATTAGAGGTAGAAGTTAGAAATATCATTAGGCTGGTAAGTGTATGTTAGTCATTAGCTACGGATTTTGTTTTTTAAAAGAGAAACTGTGTCGCCTGACCCTGGGTGGGAGTCTGTTAGTAGGACTAGGAGTTGGTAGTAAAATGGGTGAGGGGTGAAGTAGGAAATATTGTGGGTGTTTAAGTCTGAAGTGTGCTTTTAGGGTGTTAGAGTATATATTAGTATATTCTTATATTAATATTAATTTGTCCTTTACCTTCTCCTTATAAGATTAGGTCACGCTGGTATATTTGTCTATATATATATAGACTTTAATAATGAGAATACAAAACATTGGATTCTCTCCAACCTTAGTCTCTACATGGTATCAGAGCCAAGTGAACCAAACCAATTGAACTGAAACAAACGAACCGGACCAGAACCGGTATAAATCAACCAAACCGAACTGGAATGTGACGAACCAGACCGAACCGAACTTGAACTGGATGAGCCAACCCACTTGAAACCAAACCGGTTGAACTGGACCACTTGAACCGAATCAGGTATTTTCTAGAACCAGAAACTCTAAGTCATTGAAATGCATTTTCCTTGGTTACTCTCGTGTTCAAAAAGGGTATCGATGTTATTGTCCTGATCTCAATAGATATCTTGTCTCTCCTGACGTTACGTTCTTTGAAAATACTCATTTTTCATCGTTCTTAAGTACCAGTCAGGGGGAGCGGTCACAGGAAGATGATACCTTTCTTGTCTATTCTATTGTCTCTACTTCTACCGAAGAACTTCCTAGCAATACATCTCCATCCTTCTCTCCCCACTATTACTCAAGTTTATTCTCGTCGGCAACCTCCTACGGATTCATGCCCTATACCAGCAGCTTCTTTGCCTGTGGATCCA